TCATTTCTGAATTCTTTGAACTTTTCAAATACTTCAGATTTGTGCCTTAATAGGTAACCATACCGTGAATAATCATCAGTAATAGTTATGAAATGTAGTAGTTCCCCTTGGCACTAACATTTAGTGGTCCACAAACATCTGTATGGATCAAATCCAACAGACCTTTAGCTCGCTCCACTTGTCCAACAAATGGTGATTTTGTCATTTTACCTTTAAGACATGACTCACAAGTAGGCAACCTTTCCTCTCCCCTAAGGTCGAGTTTTGGTCCCAATTTGTTAATCCTCTTTTCAGATATATGACCTAATCGAGCATGCCAAAGTGTGAATGAACTATGATTATCTAATTTTCTTTTATTTTGTTGAATAGTTAGGATATGACTTTATGGTGTAATGGTATATAACCCATTTGTCAAATTTCTGGAATATATAGAAGTTGTATCTTTAAAAATGGAACATCTTCCATTCTCAATAACAAACTTAAAACATTCTCTATCCATTACTGGAATAGAAATAATGTTTCTTATAACATCCGGAACATACAAACAATTTGTAAGACAAATTTTTACCTCATTATTTAAAGCTAGATAAACAGTCCCAATTGCTTTGGCAGCAACTCTTGCTCCATTACCCATCCTTAGGATTGTTTCATCATCTTCTAGCTTGTTACTTCTTGCCATCATCTGCAAATCATTGCAAATATGTGAGCCACAACCGGTATCCAATACCCAAGAAGAATCGTTAACTGATAAGTTAACTTCAACAAAATAAATACCTGAACTTTTCCGGCTAGCAAGATACTCCTTGCAGTTCCTCTTCCAATGCCTAGTTTTACCACAATGATAACATTCATGATTAGATTGAGAATTAACCTTCTCTTTGTTCTTTCCTTTGTTGTTATTTGCCTTCTTGTTGGGTTTATTGGGAACCTTTCCCTTCCCCTTCCTTTTCTTAGACTTTAAAGCCTTTGATCCAGAAGTGGATCCAACAAGAAGCACTGGCTTATCCTTTTTGATTGTGGATTCAGCCTTCTTTAACATGTTCACTAATTCTGACAGAGAATTATCCATATTATGCATGTTAAAGTTAACAACAAAGCTATAAAATGACGATGGCAGAGATTGCAGCATGAGATCCACATAGAGTTCATTATCCATAATGACTCCAAGGGACGAAAGCCTTTCAACAAGAGCTATCATCTTCAGCCCATGATCATGAACTGAAGAGCCCTCAGTCATACGACACCTGAAAAGTTCTTTAGATATCTGATATCTAATTTGCCGCGTCCTATCACCATACAACTCTTGTAGATGAAGGAGGATTTCAGAAGCATTATTCAACAATTCGTTCTGTCTCTGTAACTCATTTGACATTGACGCTAACATGTAGCACTGAGCTTGGAGATTGTCATCAGTATGACGTAAGTATTCTCCATAATCATCAGATGTCTGATCCTCGGGTGGAGGAGGAGGGGCTTTGTCCAATACATAGTCCCTTTTTCAGACTGTAGAACAATTTTCAGGTTCCTCAACCAATCATTAAAATTGGGTCCAGTTAATTTGTTTTGTTCAAGGATACTTGCAATTGGATTCTTAGCCATTTTAATAGAGTGATCTACAAAAACAAACGAAGCAGAAAATAATCAGACTATGGAATTTATATTCATTTAATATTAGGTCTTTAACATTAAATGTCTCCCACTATTTTAATTAAAACCCCTATTTTAATTATGAAAATCTAATTTTCATAGTGGGCTTGAAGTCCAATAAAAATATTCCATATCCCAATTTTATGAGTACTCATGAAACATTTATATCGGTAGTCAACTTTTGACAATTGTATCATTATACAACCTTCAAGTTGTTTTGCCTCACTTTTCCTTATATACCTCAATTTTATGACCGTATATATTACTAAGTGTCAAATCAAACCCATCAAACATTCATGATAGTGGCCCACCAGAATGTCCCACGACTCATGGTCAACATAAAGAGGAATCCACCTCACGAGTATCACTATACTTAGTAGGGATCACAGCTTTCGACACTAAACCACTCCACGACTCATGGTCGGTGATAAAGCATCGTATCATCTCATGTCGTCTACTTTTGATGGAAGGTCTGAATTAATAAGTTCCAACTTATTTTTATCCATTATTGATTTGATATAGAATTGATCAA